TGGGCTTTGCCAGCCACGCTTTCCAGGTAAGATCTCTGGAGTAAATGTTGCTCTCCACATCTCCTTCCAATAAATCATTTTTAAGATGAGCTTATCTTTTTAGCAGGTTTTCAGCATAAAGGAGATGGTTTATTTTAGGCTCTGACATATCGCTGACACTCCAAACTGGACTTTCCATCATTTATGCTTTCATTCAAGTTTATGGGCAATTCACTCAGTTTAAAATGAAATGTTAAACTACATCAAGACTTATCTTGAATGTGTGGAAATACACAGACAGGCACTAAACACTTTTATACGGGCCATCTTGCACAACAGTAATAAACATAGCAATAAACTATATGCACAGTTTATTTTATGCTGTGCAGAATTTCCATCATGGATCTTAAGATTTTTGTACAGTATTGTTTTGTCCTACAGATTGATTACAGTTGTTTCTATTTCCAATGTGCTGAATGTGCAGCAACATGTTGGGGTTTTTTTTGCACAATGTCACGTTATGGCAAGTTTAAAATATATTTACCTACAGCACCAGGTTAAATTGGTGAAATGGAAAGGAATATACACACAGTGGAAGCTGTCTGTTGTCAGAGGGGGTCGGTCTGCACCTCAGGCCAGGTCTTGCCTCTGCCTTTTCAGCTTGGCTTTCCTCACATTATAGTGACATCATTATTTAGGGTAATAGCTTGGATAGAAAACCAATGTTATTAGATAGATTAGATAGAGAGGGACTTCAGTTTGAGAGTGCAGGAGATGAAATGCAAGTTCCAGCCATGTATAATATGGACAAGATGAAGCCACTCTGGCAGTACTATGTGTTATAATGTCTCTGTGTGTGAGCATGTCAGTGGAAACCATTAACTCTCACTCTAATGAGCTTGAACTTTATTGATCCCAGAGGGCACAATAAGGATGTCACTGTCTTAAAAACATCAAAAACACACAGTCAGTGAAGAGAGCGGGTCAGGGATGGTCTGTGACACAGATGATGGGGAAAGCCTTCGTTTGCTGTTTGAAGTTTAGTGGAGCTCCACCCCTAAAGCCCCTGGCATGACTTGGCAGCGTCAGTCCTGTCCTGCTTACGTTTACCTCCTGTTTTTTAACCCCAGTGCTCCCTTTATGTCATTAGATAAGAGGCTGGTAAAGTTAAAGACCCCCCTTGTGTTCTTTATGCATTTCTATTTTCAGGCTGAACCCACTGTGTTATTTGTGGTTAAAGATGATATAGGTCTGGAAAGTATGTGTGAATCATGGGGATGTGCGTTGATAACAGCAGGGAGTTTTATGAGGGGAACTTGGACAGGATCCGTTGGAGGCGGTTCAGTTCCCTGAAGTGTGTTTGTGACAAATATGTGCAATGCACTTCTAATGGAGCAGCACGTAAACATGTCCTCATGTGTTTGTAGTCACTGTTTGAGCACTCGCCCTTTACTCAAGTACACTTCAACATTGTGCTTTTTGAACCAGTGGGAAATAAAGTGTCTACTTTCATTACAAGTAGACATTTCACTTTTCTGTGCCACGTCAAATAATCAGATCAGGGAATTATAAGAACACGTCCCTTTGTCCACATATTCTCATGTTAACGGAAGGTTTAGGAGTAATACATGTCTGCTCTCTGTTATCACGGTAGAGCTAGAGACTCTTTCCTGTCTGATTTTTAAATACTTCTGCAGGCAAACCCCACCACCAGATGGAACAAATGACACAGAGCTTAAACTATACTGCTGTATGTCTGTCCACCTCAACCCACCAGCAAGTACTCCTACATCCATATCCCTCAGCTCAGTTTATTTCTCATGAATCCTCCGTGGAAGATGACGGAAAGTATGAGGGTTTTTTTTTTACAGGTCGTGTCCTTGTGGTCTGCAAAATGCTGTAATAAGGCTGAGTCAGGACTGTGAGGACAACAGAGCACCCCTTGCTGTGTGTGTGATGTGTAACAGACTCTTTGATTAGATTTGTCTTGTGGGACGACTGGGATAACTATGTACAGGAGGAAAATTAAGTTAATGTTGCTGCTTAAAACATTCCCACACAATCTCCTAAACAGTTTGAGCAGCATGATCTTTATCCACTTGATTGCAGCTAACTCCAGCATAGGATGGATCTCTGTAGCAGAGCTGTGGATTAAGACTTTGAGTTCAGTCAGATATAAAAGAAATATGAAGTTACAGCCAGCAGCCGGTTAGCATAGCTTAGCACAAATACTGGAAACAGGTTGTGTCAGGTTACACTGCAGTTTTTGCCCGGGTTAAACGGATGAGATATTTTAATTAGCAAGCTTTATAGGTGTTATGTTATGCTAAGCTAAGCTAAGCTAAGCAGCCGCTGGTTCTATATTTACCATTTAGACATGAGAGTGGTATCAATCTTCTCATGTAACTCTCATCAAGAAGGAGAATAACTATTTCCCAAAATACTGAATTCCCTTAAGGTACAAAAATGAGGACATGAGTCTAACCCTGAGTGATTTTTATTTTATCAGGAAACATACTACTGGCAAGGAGACGCCTCAGCTGACGCAGTCGTGATGAGTGGAGTCAGATGTTCAGGGACTGAGTTAACTGTGGATCAGTGTCTACATCACGGGAAACACATCGAGTGTCCCAAAGGAGGTGGACGCTTCTCTGCTGGGGTCTCTTGTACTCAGAGTAAGAAACTGTGCAATACAAATACTTTATACATTCAGAATCTTTTTAACATGACACTACATGAAAAGCTCACGTGGAAACGATACAATTAATGATGGCTGAATTCCATTTAGCTGCTTCAGTTTCAGGGTCCTGGCTGGCTCACTGTCATGCCGTCCTGAGGCAGAGAACACAGCCAACATTACTAGTAACACCTTGACCAAGTCAAAATGTCTGATACCCTATTACTATTGGATATTAACTTTATAAAATATTTCTTTTAAACATTTTCTCAAAGACTAGCTTGATGCTATACAGTTAATTGGGGAATTTTGAGTTTAGGTTGATGCGTGCTGTTGCTAACCACCACGTCCCTGTTGCTCTCTCTGTCCCAGCGGCCCCAGACCTGGTCCTCAATGCCCCAGTTGTGGAACAGACCACCTACCTGGAGGACAGACCCATGTACGCACTGCAGTGTGCCCACGAGGAGCACTGTCTGTCCAGTACTGCTGACAAAGCTGACCCCACCTCCTACCGCCGCCTTCTCCGCTTCTCCTCCCAGATACATAACAACGGCCAGTCAGACTTCAGGCCACGTGCGGCACACCACTCCTGGATCTGGCACGAGTGTCACAGGTGAGACTTATAGTTTGTAGTTTCCTGCTGTTTTTTTTAATAGTGACTGTATGAAACCTGATCTGTTACTCTCAAATGATTACAGAGGGGGAATTGTTGTTCAAGCTAAGTGTAAAATGAGACTGTTATTGTGGAGTTACTAAACATAGGTACATATATAGGATGTTTCAACATACTGTTTTTCCTTGTCCAATCCAGACATTACCACAGTATGGAGGTTTTCACCCACTATGACCTGCTGAGTCTAAACGGCACTAAAGTGGCAGAGGGACACAAAGCCAGCTTCTGTCTGGAGGACACTCACTGTGACGAGGGTAAATACAGATTTCCCCCTTCCCTTTTTTATTTTTCTTACATACTGTTGATTTGAGTAGAATTCTGAGTTATAGTTTAACATGATTTACTTTCATATGGAGGGAACAGTAAAAATATTTAGATTAAATACTGACTTTGTTAAGAATAAACTATGTCGCTGAATGTTTGATTTGATGGAAGCATCTGTATAAAGCCAGGTCTGAATGGCTCTGCTCTGAATGCTGACAGGTATCCAGAAGAGGTATGAATGTGCAAACTTCGGGGCACAGGGCATCACAGTTGGCTGCTCGGATACCTACAGGCACGACATTGACTGTCAGTGGATCGACATCACAGACCTGAAGCCCGGCGACTACATTTTCCAGGTAGAACATTTGGCCTGCCAGTGTAGCCTTACTAGATACAGCACATCTGCTGCTGGAAAGATTCTCATCTTCAGCCAGCATAGTCTTAACAGACAGCAAGACTTTCCACGTCTCTGCAACTGTTTGTGTTTGGCCTTCAGCCTAAGTATACTCTTACTCAGACTTAAACAAGCGAGGGAGGGTTGTTGAAGGACACAGAACCGTCTGAGGGACACTTTGGCTGCAGCACAAATTAAATGTACAATATCTAGGTTGTGAGACAAATCATCCACTAGAGAGTGATCTTTTCTGAATCAGTTGCAGAAATTAAACTCATATTTTTTTCTTTTTGAGTCAGTCACTCTGTGAAGTCCCCCTCACACCCTTCTGGTCTACTGCCAGTCACTAAATCTGTTATTCTGTCCTTAGCAATACTTCTAATGACTTTTACATGTATAAGCTTTCGCTTTCAGACATTTAACCAACACTGTTTTTGCTCCCTCAGGTTGTAATAAACCCCAACTATGAGGTTGCAGAATCAGATTACAGCAACAACATTATGAAGTGCCGCTCCCGGTACGATGGACAACGGATATGGACATACAACTGTCATATAGGTGAGACCATTAGCTTATAAGGATCTTAATCTGCTTTAAGCTTTAAAATGATATTAAGTACAATGGTAAAGTATTAAGTTCAGTGGAAAAAGAGGCTGCATTATAGCCCGTTTGTATTTTTTTAGGAAAGCAAAATGAAATGAAAGCATTTTGAGCCGTTTAGTAATGGGATTTTTACTTTGCATTTACATCAGATATTAAGTATGATCACGTTTTCTTTCTGTCTCCTAAAATTGGGTTACAGTTCTTATACTGTTTACCAGGTGTAGATTTAACATCTTCATATTAAAAGGTTAGAGCCAGGACTTCTTTAACATTTAACATTTTCATTTTAAATCCAGCGTACTGAAGGGCCAACGAAACAAAGTGTTTGAACACTTTTTGGCTGCATATGTTTAGGTAAAATTGTACAACACTAAAACTTCTTTTAAACAATGAATCAAGTTAACTATGTATAATTTTCATATTTTCATGAGACATGAGCATTTAATTTAATCCAGTCTTGTTTTCCCTGAAATTACTCAATGGACACAGTTCAAAAAGTAATGCATAAAGACAAACCACAGAACAAGTCCTGTCACCTTCACTTCAGGCACAAAGATCATTTCAAGTATGACAAAAAATAAAATACTCATCTCCTTTTACTGAATACAAACATATACAATTCTCTCTTAATGGCATTTTAGACACCCTCTTAGAGGTAAGACTGGTGTTAAATCAATGACGAACGGTACAGTAACCGGTACAGAGGACCCAACAATCCAAGTTTGCGAAGCAAAAACTAAATGTCTCACCCAAATGTCTAAAATCTTTTAGCTTTGTGTAATGTGGAATGTGAAAGAACTTTCCCGAGGCAACAATCCTATAGTATTTTTGTGTTATTTAGAGGAAAAAAATAAATATTAAAAACAATTGAACATCTTGCAACTTGTTTACAAAACATAAAACATTTTAAATGAACTAATGCATTATAAAATATCTATTGAGTCCAGTATAACATTGTTACATTTGTTTTCCTTTACTCAACTGAAGTGCTGGCTTTTGAAAACAAAACTATATTTAGTATTATCTTTTTAACAGATAAGATTCTGTTAATGGACCTACATTACGTTTGTCAGTTGGAGTTGTACTACAACGCACAATGTAAAAGATTTATTTAACCAAACCACCCTTGAAATGCACTTTAGTTTCAAGGCAACATGCAATCAAATCAAAACAATCTAAGAACTTCTCCAGTTTTCTCCCTTTTCTCGTTCAAATCAGCGTTTGCATCGGACTCAATCGTACTTAAACCAATAATGTCCAAAGGGTTCAGTGTCTTGCTCAAAGACACTTCAGCAGGGTGAACGTTGCTGATGTGTGGCAGTCAACTTGTGCCAGTCTACTCCTTCACCCTGCAAACCTGCCTCTCAACCTGCTGTACTGATCAGTGAAGCAGGCAAACAGTGCTGGACGGGACTCTTAAAGTTCAGCTGGCTGTTTGTGGCCACTGTGGAGCCTCTACAGAGGACCAGTGGATGGAGGCAGACCTCTGCTGGACCTTCCTGTAGAAAACAGAAAGACTGTTAGATTATGTTTTATAAAAAGGTCCCATCACAACATAGTACAAAACAAACCTTTCCCAAACACTTCACTGTCAATAAATCACAAATGAAATGTTTTTCTAGTTGTGACTCATCACATTGAGTTATTATTGTCAGATGTTCAGATTCGTATTTCTGCCTCAACATCCCTTCCCTGTGTGACTTTACAGGTGGCTCACTGAGTTCGGAAACAGAGGAAACTTTCCCGGGATTGCTGACCAACCAGCTTTCATACAGGTAGACCAAAGAGGGACAACGCAGATGGATGGACATTAGGGAATTGTATATTAATATTTGACAACCACTAGAGGGGGCTGTACTGTTGTGCTTCCTTGGAGCAGTGCTGGATTGTTGTTGGGACCAGGGTTGGTACAATGGACAATAATTCAATGGGGAAAATGAACTGCTTGCTTACTAAACCTATTAACCACATTCAGCTGTTCAAAAGTGTTCTTATCTCTTAGTGTCTTATTGCCTTTATTGATGAAATGAAGGTTTTGACCTGGTGCTTATTGGGAGAGATGTCAGGGAGGGTTGCAGCCAAATAACTTATTAGATTAACTGTGCCAACAGTTGTCGTCTTAACCAAAGTTTCAAGAGTTTGCTTGGGCTAGAAAATTGTTTACTTTAACTAGAAACTAAAAACAAAAGTGCATTTTTATAATTACTGTAGAGCAACATGCCACAATCTACAGCACAACTGACAAGACAATTAACTCCTACAAAGGATGACAACCAAAACTATAATATAGGCTACCAAAAGTTGGATTTATTTTACATTGTCTGTCATGCCCCCTCCTGTGCTGAATACATCTATGACAACAGTTGCTTGGATTTGTATCCTAGTAAAGATTTCAGTCACAAATAGTCAGAATTAACTGAGTGGGGAAGTGTTTTTTTCTGCCAGGACTTTATGTTCCACATACTTGAGCTCACTTTTGAAATGTTTTATTTATTTATTATTTTTCTTGGATGCTATAGTAGACACACATTTACATCTTCATGCTTCTCTCAGCTTCTTTCTCAATGTCTGAGTCAGGGACTATGATTACATTGTGGGCATACTTAAAAAGCCACAAATGTATGTGAAAATGCCTCCTCATTGTTTTGTAAATTTGTTTTTTTTTAATGTAACAAATTGAATTGAAGAATCCTTCATTTTAAAAGGGTACTTGTTGCTTGCTGCCTGACTGTTTTTATTTTGTATGCATGGGTGAATGATGAAAAAGCATTACATTTTTGAAATAAAAAAATGGACAAAGCAAATCCCAATTTATATGATCAATGTTTTTTTCTTAATGTTCAAAATGTTTCCAACAGCTTCAAGAGAGTCAACTCCACAGTGTTTACTATATGGTCTGTTCACCTGCATTAGCCAAGCGTTAGCGATTCTCCTTCAATATCGCTGCCCTCTGCCTCGTCCCTGCAGCCCCAAGGCTCTGGTCACCATCCGCTGGGCAACAGCGCAGTCTGTCCTAGGACGTTTCTTCACTGGCTGGATAAACTCTGGAACACAGCACAGAAAACAACCATCTGATCTACATCATCCAGCAAAAATAATAAATAAATCCCAGACTAAACACTAGATACCAGGGCTCCATATATTTAACAAGATTATATTATCTTATAAACAACAAGCATGTTATTAAAAGTAGCTAAAGCAGCTCAAATAAGCTTAGTGAACCACCTACCTGCAAATCTAATGGCCTTGCATTTGGCTTTTTTACTCCCCTCGGTCAGTGCCCTTGTCTTCAGCAGCGGATGGCAGATGGAGAGGGCATGGAGTGCTGCATATGACATTGCTATACGTTAGTACATCTTAGTCATTTTCAATCATCTTTTAAACTCAATCCCAGCACCACATTCACTGTGCAGGGACGACTCTTACCTGCTGACTCACTGGAGAAAACCCCCAGTGCGTGTGTGTTGTCTATCCACTTGATCTTCATTCCACCATCACTGAGACAGACAGGAAAGGACTTAGTTAATATAGTATAGATCAATTCATTGAGATCATCTTAATTTACACACGGGATGTTTCTCTTTTAAATTTAAAATTTGAACTTTTTGTTGCATAGTAAACACAGAAAACATGTTATCCCGTATAGAAAATGTAAAGAATGAATAACCTTAAACCCAGAGTACTACTAGAACAGACAAACCGGCAGACACGTAGAGAGCTTGCACCTGTACTCCGAGAAAGCATCCATGAGGTCATCTGTTTTGAATAAAGCTGGGAAGTCATAGATCTCGATCACGTGGCGAAAATCATCTGGACTGATATTGATACACACATTCACATACACGGAGTAGTCATTGTGAACGTGCTCAATGGAAACAGCCACTGCGTCTTTCAGGTGTGCCCTGATCTGATGGGACAAACACAAAATAATATAATAATTATGGGGCTAATGTGGCCTCAACATGAAAATTAGTAAGACATTTAAAAAAACCACACCATCAAAGCCAAGTGTAGGCTTACCTCTTCAGTTACATCACTGCATGCCACACTAGCAAGGTCCTCCTTGTCCTTCTCGTCCTCCTCCAGAGTCATCTCAGCAAAGCAGGACACGGTCTCATCCCAGACTAGGCTCTCAGCTTCATGCAGCATCAGCCCCTCCGGACAAAGCGCTGGACTTTCAGCAACATGGTTGAGGACACCGTCCACTACACTGGGGTCTGATTCCTGCCCGGATGTGGATGAGGACTTTGTGTTCTCTGTTGTTTCAGGATAGGAACAAGACTCAGATGAACTGCTGATGCAGCTATAGCTACTGGAGGCCGGACTGGGCAACTCTTGGTCTCCTGAGGGTCCTTGTGAGTTCTGTAAGGACAGTCTCTCCCGAGCAGCTCGCGGCATGTAAAGGGGTTTGTCTGGCCTCTTCGGTCCTCGGCTTCGCGATACGTTTGAAGATTTAGGCTTGGCATCGCCCTCAATCCCTTCCCTTCTTTTGCTTCTTGCTAGGGGCTCTTCACACAAGCTGTTGTTGCCCTCCAAGTCAACATCTTCCTCTACCTCACCCCTACAGAAAAATACAAACATCTTCACATAGGAACACCCACTGAACATTTAACTAAATGCAGAAATCAGGAATTTAGGAAAGCAAACAAAAGAAATGTGAAACAAAAAGTGAAAAGACATTTCTTTGCAATATAGCCAAGATGATAATTGCACATCAAATAACTACAATCTGTGGATATTTTAGAGGCAAGCTTTAAAATGTACATTTCAAAATTCTTCATAAGCTTTTGCATAGCGGCTGTCTCCTCACCCACATTTGTATTAAAACCCAATTTTGACATTCCTCCTTCAATTTTAACTTGGCTGTTCTATATCATGAACTAAAGAAACAAGCTGAGATTTCTTTCAATCTCAGATAAACCTGTTTAAAAACTGATCAACTGAATCCTTAACGCTAATGTGTCACAACGATATGCATCAACTGTGTTGGAATCAGTTCGTTTCTCATGGTTTTTAAAAATCCATTAAAAATAAAAGTTCAAAGATAGATTAAAGTTTGTCCAACAATGTGCATGTGATCTACTTTGAGTCTACGTTCAGTACCTGAGCTCAGAATGGCAGACCACCACTCTACGGCACCAGCTGTCCCCTACTGAGAAGGTGGTGAGCTCTGGCACATCCTCCGTGTAATTGTGGATCAGGTATCGCAGTCTGCTGGGTAGAGGGGGGAACAGGAGCACACTGGACAGGGACACAGAGGGACACAGAGGGACAACAGAGACATTAAAGCCATAGTTCCTTTTGACAGTATAAAACCAAATATATTTTTAACAACATCAATTTTAGGGTTCCACGATATGCTAAAAACATAATATTGCGATTCTTTTGAAAGATATTGCAACTGAGATATGATTCACTATTCGTGTGGGAATGATCACTTTAGCATCACAAATTTAATTTTCACTGTAAAGACAACTAAAAGCCAATATGGTGTGAAATGTTGTCTCCTGTCTGTATCAAACAAACATGAATTGTAGTCCAGGGCATCTCTACAGCACTTCATTAAAATGCTGTTTTGTCACATTTTAGCTTTATCAAAAGAATTTGCTTTGGTTAATATTTTTATTAACTGTGCAGCCCTAATACATTTCCCATTGAGGCTTTATTGTCATTGTACATAACCTTCACCTCATCAGATAGTCTCGTTGAGACCAGGATCTATACAAAGAGGTACAGTGAGAATACACATAACACAGCTATAATAATAATAATAATAATAATACACAGCGACATGTAAACCACTTTGGCCAGTCTACTCAAGTTTAGTATTTAATGGTAATGTATCATGAGTTGCAAAGAACAGTTTTAAATCTGAGAAGAGAGTTGCTGAGGCAGCTTTTGTAGGATACATTTATTAAAAATGATGGTGTGTAGTTTATGTCCTGTTACTAGTGAAGACCTTTGTATTGATGCTGTTGAGTGCTGAATACAATGTTTATATCCCTAATTAAACACTAATCACTGAAACAAACTGTGCCAGGAAAGAACAGCAAGTCGAGCACAAACATGATGGAAAGCATTTTTATTTATGTTTTGATTCTGATATACGAAAACCATTTGTATCCTTCAAAAGGTAAGACTGTCTGACTACATGTCAATGTATTTATAAGGGTGGGACCTGCTGCAGCTTTAAAACTGGTCCCTTTTATTGTTAGTTAGTTAGTGGTCGTGACCTTACCTCTTGCGATGGCTCTTCTGTTGGTATGTTTCCAGCTCATCCATGACCTGATGCATGAATTGACATTCTTGCTTTGGGAGATAACCGCTAAATGCCATCGAAACAGGGAAACGCCAGGTTGGATAGAAAAGGACGGGTCCTGTGGACAGCGTGGTGAAGTTTCAAGCCATCATTAATAAAGCCAAATGCAAATGAACTGTGACCAGTAACGCTAGCTAGCAGCCATCATTTGAAATTAAGACTAGCTAGTTGAAGCTAAGTGGAGCAGAGAGCTAGCTGAGTTATTCTGTGTTTTCATGTCCTAAAGCAGCAACGTTACCACATGAACAACTCAAAACAAAGCTAGCCGACTGTGGTTAACGTGGCTGTCTTGTAGTCAGTCAAACAGGCTTACCGTTTATGGTCTGAAATGTACTGTTTTTACTCGGAGGTGTTGAGGGGAGAAGCTGTGCTGTAAGGGGACACAGGTGACAACAAATGAAGTCACAGGCAGCACTGCTTCAGTAGCTAGCTATCAGTTAGCTTCCGGGAGCAGATGTTTTGGTCGTTCCTTCAGAAGCAGCAAGACATCCGGTTTGATTGTTTCAGAATAAAAGTTCCTCCAAATTTAGCTAAACCAGACTGCAAAAAAAATTAAACACAACAATGCATGTATAGTTTGTGCGTTTATGTGGTAATAATGATTTTTTTTAAAAAGGAGTTCCACAGGTTTCAGGAAAAGGTTATTTATTTTGATAAAACAGAACAATATTTGTAAGAAAAAGTACAGGAGTTGTATCAAACACCAACTATAGCAATCATCTGTGGAGTTCAAAGTGTTTAAGGTTTCTGTGGTGTTTGGTGATTTTGGATGACATTCAAAATACAGGTAGTGAATCTTATGAGAGACATTTAACAAGACTGCTGAACAGGATTTGGGAGATTCGGTGCAGTTGTAATATGACACGGCAGAGATGGACATTTCTCAAAATCTACTAGATCATGTCATTATTTTATAACAGTAAACATGCTCCATCTTTGAAGTCACACAAACTCTAGTTCAGGACTTCCCATGTGTTTCACATGACATGATCGCCCCCTCTAAAAGTCACATTCATGCACAGATAAGAAAACATTTGCCTCAACAAAGGCTACAACCACAATGTTAATACTGACGACTGCCCATAACAGAACTACTGTTTACAGACTGTGCCAACGATCTCCGTCCTATTGCTCTAATAGTTCTTTATATAGTAACATTATTTGACTTTATATTATTTGCAAAATGATACAAATCAAATCAAATCACTTATATTCACCATGGTCAGAAAGTCGTATTTAACACAATGGCACGATTCATAAAGACAAGTCTGGATCAACTAGGACACAATTTATACACTGCTGCATGTATAAAAAGACATGAAAACACATATACAAACATAACAAGATAGGCGGACAGTAGAGTACTTATAAATAACAGAGAGAAGGATCAGATCAAAATTATATACATCCATTCAGGTATAGCAGACGTTTGGAATATGTGCCGCCAGACAGATGAAGAGAATCTGATCAGAGTCATCAGCCTATACAGAGAGGTAGAAAATTATTTTAGCATTGAGAATAAGCAATGGGTACTGACAATACATATTTCAGTGTTTTGACTAGATGGTAGTAAATGCCCTCCTAAATAATGATGAAATCATAATTACAACACAAGCATCATGTTTGGCTTTTTGGCAAAATCCCTTCAGAAAATTCTGTTTCCTTGAGTCAAAGGGAAATATGTCAAATTGGAGTCCATACCCCAAGTTTCTTTATCTTCCAGAGCCAATGCTTCTGTCTTCAAAGATGGTAATTTCAACCTAAAACATAGCAAGTTAAGGGAAATACACAATGCTACATGTGGCGATTGTAAAAGGGGTTTAAGAAAACAAAATATATATATATATACAAAGTAGACCTATATCTCAGCATTTCAAAACTAAATGAAATTGTTTTTTAAATTTTTTATTATTTAGGATCCTAACTTTAAAGATCTGAACACAAGCTATATTCACAGTCTCCTGTCTCTGCTCAACAGTCTCGTCCTGCATTATAAAGGTATGCAGCTCAAACAACCAAAGAGCTGATAGAACAATGGCCATGTGTGAAGGAGAAGAAGACACTGAATTTCTTTAAAGACAATGTATGTTTGTTAAAAATAGAAATAAAAAAACATAATGCAGACAGAGATATGTATCAAAGGTTCCTAAAAATATCAGGAAAACCCCTCCCTAATGAATAATCCTCCAAATCACTATTTGATTTAATTGTACAGTTTATCAGTTGTTCTGTGCTGTTATTGTTATGCATTAAATATAATATGAAATATCCATAAAATATGCCACTCAATCAGGGATTGTCAGTTTACTCAATTATGGAAAAAGGGACCTTTAAAGGTAAAGGTGGGGTTACACTGGTTTAGAGGTGGTGGTAAACACGTTATCAAAGAGCAACTTCACCAAACATGTAAATTGAAATATTTGTAGATGGGCCAAAATGTCTAATTTTACATCAATAAACTTTCAACTTTTTTCTACCCCACTATTTACTGTCATATGTCAATACACTGTGTACTAGCTAAAAGCTTGAAGCTGAACAATTGTGGCTGATTTGGTGATAAGTCATTACAAAGACCACTACAATATTGAAAATGGAAAAGGTTGACAGGAGCCTCATTGTGGATATGATAATGTGCTGCTATGTAGAAAATAACAACAAATAATGATAATGCAATTGATGTGACATAAGCCAGGTGAAGGATACGACTCTGAGGCCTCTCTCTATGGGATCAGTCAACAGCAAGCCTCTGGGAGCGTATATCTTCTCATTCTGGTCCTTAATGTACCTGGCGATCTTCTTTAACACCTGAACACAGACAGAAACACACACATTTAAGATATACTGTGACATGTACAAACCACCGGAGACAAAGATACGAGCAGTTTTACCTTTTCATAGTGTGTCTCCATACAGAGGAAGACTGTATAGGCAGTCAGACAAGCCAGACAGCCCTCCAAATAAGACTTCCCCCCTAGTTTCTCTGCCTCCGCATACAGGTTGTTTAGAGTCTGGATGGTTTCTTCAAACTGCTGCTTATCAAGCTGAAACCACACAGACGTTTGCACATTATTACACACAACCTTTGAACATTGAGTCAACAACAATAATAATAACATCCATGGAAACACTGCACATACCCTTGACTCGAGCTCAGAGGGGAACTTGGTCTGGAACTTGCAGATGGTTCCTGAGCTGTAGTCTCTCTGTACAAACACCTTGGAGGAGACAGCTGGCTGCTGGAGGTCCTGTAAGCTGTGGGTCTGGACACAGGATTCAAATGATCAGGCTTTCATGAAGAGTGAATGGTTGGAACTGTAGTTCCTACTGTAAAGCTAGCTACACTTAAACTATCAGGACGTTTATATTATTTTACCAAATGTATTATTACTAAACTAATGGCTACCACACCTAACTTCCTTTAGTGTTCAACTCCGATGACAATTACCACCTATGTAATGTTGATAGTGTTAATATCGGATACTGTAGGACATTATATTAAATATTGTAAAATAATATTACTACGATCGGTTTATGATATGGGGTGATGTTAGCTAGCTGATAACACGTTAGCTTAACGTTACGTTTGCTGAACCATCAACGCCGCTGGAAACAAGGCAAGGTTAGCCTTTATGGTCATCCAGATTAATACAGCACCTCAAATGTGTTCATTATTTAGGCATTCAACTGCACGTCAACCTCAAAAAAACCGAATAAACCCCTCAAAAAACCCTTACCTCAGCCATAGTGGACGCTTCCCCTGCAGCGGCTGTACTGCTAGTCTCCAGCGGGCTTCCGGGACATTGCTTTCAGAATAAAAGTGTCTTTTGAAGAGTATTGATGAGTGAGCCGCAATCATTGACTGTATGGCTGCAATGCATGGCTAACTGGAACTACATGCGAGTCTAAGAGGCATTATACTTTTATTTTTAACATTACCTAACCTTGTATAGTATACATAAAAAGATCGTCCATTAAATCAGCCACAATTGCTTTCCCCCCCTTTAATTAAAAAAGGAAACTTTCATAACGAATCCAAACCACACAGGTTAATATCAGTGGGCCGGACTATCAGCCTGAAGTAAGTTTTGACGTACACAATATTGACATCATGTAGGTTAATATGATTACACTTTATTTCAGTATTACCGTGCGTTATTTTCTAATGTACATATTAGTCATATGAGTCGCCGTCAGGGGTTTATGCATAGTTGCTTAATAGTTATGGCATTTACAAATTCCTCGTGTATATCTCGCAAGACACTTCGCCCTGGCATTTTATTTTGAAGGCTGACACACCCAAACAGGAAGTCTTGAGTGCTTATTGCCCCATTTTCCGAAATGGAAATTACGTCATTCCAAATGTTAATCCCGGTACACGGTGACGCTCACAGGACCCGGGAGTGAACCAACTTTCGATCTGGATTCAGTGTTTCAGTAAAGACACACTGTACAAATCCAAATTACAACTTCACACTTCCAGTCTCCACCCAATAAGTATCCTGACATTTAATTTACAGAAAAACTAAAGAAATTCACACAGGGAGCTAAAGATTTTTAAAGATTGTTTTATTGAATCATGGTCTTATTTGATTCGTGTTCTGTTCGCTGTATGCATTAGTCGAACAGACCGAAGCCCATGTCGTCATCTGATTCCTCAGACTCTTCCTTAACCTCTTCCTTAGCAGCAGCTGGGGCTGCAGCAGTCTCAGCAGCTGCTGCAGGTGCTGCGACAGCAGCAAACGCAGAGGGGTCAGCCAGGAAGGCTTTGACCTGTGAGGACAAAGGTTGAACATTAGTTGTGCAAAACAATCTTACAGATGAAGGGCTATGGTGGTACTTGTTCTGAAACCCATCATGCAGGTTGACTAATTGGACAAGTTACTGGTTTGATGTGCATACCTTGTCTGCCAGGGGGAAGGAGTAGTCTGTCTCCACAGCGACAGCCAGGACTCTCTTGTAGCCATTGATGACAGAGTGGGGGACAGATGCCAAAGTGGGATACCCAATCTCCAGACACACACTAGCGATGTTCCTCACACCCTGAGAAGAGAAAATAAAAGCTCTCATGAAACAATTTGCAGATGTTCTAGACATGACTCAGGTGATATTTGTTAATATCAAGGGCTGTTCTTTATGCCACACCAAAGTCTCACCTCCAGGAATCTGGCATGCAGAGAAGCCTCTGTGATGTCAAGCACCTCAGGGCTGTAAACACTGCCATTGTCATACACCTGCTGGATGATGAGTCCGTAGGAGAAGGGTGAGATGTTCAGCATGTTGAGGAGTGTGGCCTCGCTGGCACCAACCTTGTCGCCAGTCTTGATCAGATTGACGTTACTCTGGGGGACAGAAATGCTGGTTAGTTACTGATGCACACATTTTGAGACATCCATGCATTTCACTGAATATGTCTGGCTGGAAAGTCAGCTTTATTCAACAAGAGTAAACCCTTCCTATGTGTCAGACTGAAATTCCAACTACCACAGGATAATTTTCCAACTCACCAAGATTTCAATGGTACCCCTGGAGATCTTTGTGGTGATACCCAGAGCCTGGAAGAAAGAGGTCTTCTCAGGACCCAGACCAGTGTTCTGGGCAGGCACAGTCACATCACAAGGGGCAATGGCTCCAGCACGGGCAGCTGCAGGTACCTGGGTTATTGGGAGATCATTTTAGTATGCGGCTTCACTAGAAGTCTTTAAGTTTTGTCTTAGCTGTTGATTTAGTGTCTGAAACCTTACGTCCCTGGCAGTCAAGGGAATTGACATGACAGGTATAGCGAGGAAACAGATTACTGTTTGCAGGGGGAACGACAACGCAGTACCACACAAGCTGCATTGTAACTTATCCTGCACACTGACAGGTTTGAAGAATGTTCTTTAGAGTCCTTACTTAGCAGAATCAAAAAAATACCCTGTTAAATAATTCAATTAGTTCCTCCATGTGTGCCTATTAACTGGCAACACACTATGCATATGCAAATATATACACTACTCAAAAAGTTATGGATATTCAGCTTTCAGATGAAATTTCAGAATGTACATAAAATGCACTATAACATTTCCAGGTGATCTTAATTTGACCTACTTAAATTCCCTACCTTCATGATATAATATCACTATAGCATCAACTTTTTACATTTTCCATAAATTTCACCCAAAAGTGAATATCCCAAACTTTGTGAGTAGTGTATATAAAGTAGATTTTCATGTACAGTAAATCACTTGACTCTGTACTCTTGTAGTCAGATTCTATAGCAGACCCTTACCTTGTTGGCCAACAGCAAGTCCCTGACCTCAGCCAGATCCTCCTTGGTGAAGACAAAGCCCACATTTCCTTTAATGTGGGGCAGGAGTCTATCAAATCACAAGATTAGCTGTTAGACACGCCAGCAGGTCAACCGTTTCACAAAGAGGAAACAATTACTGTGTGTCTGAGACCTTACGTCCCTGGCAGTCAAAGGAAGTAACATGACAGGTATAGCGAGGAAACAGATTACTGTTTGCAGGGGGAACGACAAAGCAGTACCACACACGCTGCATTGTAACTTATCCTGCACATTAAACCTGACGACAAAAAGTAGCCGGGACAGTAAACTCACTTCTCCAGAGCAGGATTGTTCTCCAGATGACCGCGAATGGCTTTGCGCATCATGGTGTTTTTACCCATCAGCACCACAGCCTTGTCCCGCAGAGACAGACGGATGGTCTGCATCTGCTTGGAGCCCACATTGTCGGCACCCACAATGAAGCATTTGGGATAGTCATCCAGAAGTTGCTGTAAATGGAGAGCAGAGTACATAAATACAGAGCTATTTCAACAATTACACATTCAATGAGATATTTAACCGTGTGGATATAAACTTACGTAAGCAGAGTCCTACTTACGATGATTTTCATAAAATAGTTGGACTTCCACGTGGCCCTGTCTTCCCTGGGCATCTTTGCAGTGCTTCCAAGGATCGCTAAACAGCTGGTTTAAAGACAAGGTTGTACCTATAGGAAATAATAAAACGTTAACGATGTAGCTCAGACACAGAACAATAAATGTGTTGGTGGTGCTGGCCGACATGCGGTCGACAGCTAGCGTTAGCCGGCTAATAGCAAGTTAGCAACATCGTAACAGGCCGCACTAGGTTTAGTCACGTTTCCGCATTTTAACAGAACACAAATCCTATTTTTAGGTCATACACAGGTTTAATTTCTTGAATCCAAAACTCTAATACGGTACAGTCTCATTAGATATGAGTGTTTCCATTTACCTAAAGACCGACAGAAAAAGGCTTACCTAGGACACAAGGGTCGCGTGAAAGAAAGAGGAAGAGGAAGGGCGCGTTTAGAATATATAACAAACAGGCGACCAATCACAGCGGAGTCCTGGGCGTCAGCTACACAGCCATTGGACGGTTGCTGTGTCAATCATTTCTGCTGCCAACCAATCACCACTCAGCAGAATTCTAGTACAACCAACGCTTCACACGTTGAATCCTACGTGAACTTCAAGCAAGATGGAGTAAAGGAAGCTGTTTCTGCCCGCTGAGCAGGGCTAATGGTAACAGGAACATTAACATTAATGTCGGTGTTAGCCAAGTAGCTAACATATCCGATAGCATTGTAAAACGATGGCACAGCCGGTCCTACTACTTCCGTCAGAGGTCTGGAACCACGTTTTTGGTTATCTGTCCCCGGAAGACAAGTTCAGCGTCCGGGCGTCCTGCAAGTACTTCAGAAAACTTGTAGATCACGGATCTCTATGGAGAGACTGGTCAGTAGTTTTGTACTTTAAAAATGGCCCTTACAACAGACAGTTCTGGGCCACTCTTCGCCGCAGGAGAGTCGCCAGTGTGGTGGTGAGGAGCAGTAAAGCTAAGGACTGGAAGCAGCTGGCCCTGTCCCTGCCTGCACTCACCACGGTGGTAATGGACCGAAGCTCCAGAGCCAGCCTCGACTGCTTAAAGGACTTTACACATTTAAAGCGTCTAGCTATTAGAAATAGTTGCACTCCAATTTTGCTAGATGCTTCCACTGTGTGTCAACCCCAGCTGCTCACTCACCTTAGTCTGTGTGATGTGACATTTCCCACTACATCAGTGGGTTGCTTGATTTCTGCTGTTTCCCAGTTCACAAATCTTACGTCTCTGGTGTGTCATCATATGGGAATCTTTGACGAAACCATCTGGATGCTTCACTCCATATTGACCTGTCTGCCTAAGCTGAAGCATCTTTCATTGTCCATTGTGTGCACCCTTCACAGTATTCCCAGACCCAGCCCACGTCCCTTAGGAGCCGCACACCCATCCTTGTCCAGTCTGGAGCTCATCGGCTGCATGGATCATTCATTACCAGAAGATGCAATGAGACTGATGCCTGGCCTGAGGAGTCTTGCTGTTTTCTACAAGCAGTCACATCATGAGATGCCAGAAAGATGGCCATCACCTGTGTGCCACTTGAAAACATGGCTGAGTGACCTCTCTCAACTGTCAACCCTGGTCATTGTTAAGGGCCCGCCTGTTAAGAAGTATGTCACCTCCATTCCAGCCTCAGTGACCAGCCTCACACTGTGTATAGCAGGATTATCCTCAGACGACATGGCAGACATAGCAGTGCAGGTACCCAATCTCCTGCACCTTCACATAGACACCTGGCCCTCACATTTGGGAACTCACACAGCTCAAATCCCAAAACTTTTTCCAAAGCTCATAAGTCTCAAACTTCGCCATGAACATGTGCCGGAGAAAGTATTCTTACACCTTCACCAGCTGCAAAACCTGGAATACTTGGAGATACTGGATAGCCGTCTGCACCTCTCTGAGCTTACTGGCAAGCTCCAAGCTCTGGAAAAGTACAGACTAAAGGTCGCAACCTCTCCACGCCAGAGAGATGTGCTGTCTTGTCCTTGTGTTTATCAGGTGTTTTAGCAGGACTGTCGGACTGTTGACATGTTGTTTGACTAATGAAGAACCTGTTGAGACCAAAGTAAATGCCTGAAGTCAGACTAATTTGGGAACCTGTAGTGCCTTGCCATACTCCCTCACTGTTAACCCAAATCAGTGGGTCCCAACTTGGGGGGGGGATTCTTGAATCAAGTAAGCATCGCTTTGTTTTAAGGGATCACAGGTCAAAGAGAGAGAATCTATGTAAATGCTACAATGAAATGTATGTCGAATGTCCAAATAAAACACACCAAGTACACCTTGTAACACCCCACCCCTTTTTAAAAAACATTTTTGGATAATATAAATTTTTCTTATTTTGTACCTATTTGGAAAACTCTGTGGGGCAAGCAGATGTTTTATTGTGTGTCACACTAAAGGTAACTACTTCTGTTCATTAAAATGAACATTGGTAAAGTATTTGCTAAAATCCCACAAACTTTTTTTTTTTTTTTTTTAAATCAAGTTGAGTACTTCCACTCAGTGTTATTTTTTGAATATCTTGTGTGCCAAAAGATCTGGTTTAATCCAAAACACTCAATAGTAAAGATATGCGTGAAAAGAGAAGCCACAGAATAACTTTTCAGACAAAGCAATGCCAGAAATAAAGTACTTATTTTATTTGCAGCAGTTACAATAATCAGTCAGTAATCAGGACCCACATAGGCTTACACCCCACCCAAAGAAAACTTGTGACTCAAAAGAAAATTCAAATGGTAAAAGATCACATGAAGGTCTCATTTATAAAGCAAAGTTCACTTAATCTCATTAACAGTAAAAGGCTTTTCTTTCATGAATTCTTTGACAGAAGCAAAAACTATAAGCTGATAAATATACACGGGGCAAAATTAACTCAATTCCTGTTCATTTTCCCCTGCTACTTCCTGTAAATCTGAATCAGCTACAAGTGTACACTATACGGTCTGCTGAATGACTCAGTACAGAAGGCTTGTCAATACAGTGTAAACTTTTGGGTGTTCGGAGTTAGGATGCACCACAGCAGATGAAGCCTCTCCCATACAGAGCCTCAGCCCATAAAGAATCAAATCACAGGATAGGTTGAGAACTCCACAGTGTATAAGACCTTATTGCATTGACACATTTGGCACAAGAGCAAACATCTTCTCAAAGTAAAAACTATCTGAATGTGTATACTGTGTATTCACTCCTCGCACACCTAGTGATCAAAATTAAAGACAAGCAACATTGTCAAACAACAAAAATAATCACACATTGTCTATGTATGCTGCAAAACAGCTGCAAGTAAAATAACAATGAAATGAGTCGTTAGGTAGATTTTGCTAAAGCCTTGGCCCTGGCTCGGTGTTGTATCCTGATTCCTGACCTGAACACTGACATCCAGCTTCCATCAGTGAACCAAGCGCTGATATCGACTCAGACAGCAGGATCATAGCTCGCGACTCATAATAAAAACAAAAAGGCTGCGTTTCCCTGGAAGTCTGACACACTGGAATCCAAGCTGGTAGATGGTAGGTGGTGTGTGCGTGTGTGTGTGTGCGTGCGTGCAAGAGAGAGAGAACAGGGTAAGGTATTGTTAGCCTACATGCCAATAGAGCCAGCTCTTTGCATATCAGTGTGAGCCCAAACAGCTCAAAAATATATGTATTTTCATTAAAACTGACAAAACACAGTTCTGTCACAAAGTCGAGCACATTACAGGTATAGAAATTTGGATCCTGATTGTAACAGCAAGTGGCAGCGAGTGCTGAGAAAACTCCAGATAAAAGAAAGCATGCTTCTAATCCAAATGCACAACCATATTTTAAATTTTGAAACAGCCTTACTAATAGATTTTAATACACTGAACAGTGGCGCTAATAAAATATGGGGAAAAAGGCTGAACTGGAGCATTGAATTATTGAATCGATTGATTATTGTGTGTGATATCTGTGTGGGAACATACAGCAGTAAAATCTCCACTTTTAAACTAGAGTAAAGACAATAAACTTTGTTTTGGCTTAAACTGCACCATAAGTTCAACATTAACAACCATAGTACATATAATATTCTTATTGACCTAATTCTTGTCAGCGTGAGTCGCAAACGTTTTGTTTTATTTGAACATTATTAATGTAAATGACAAACACTTTGCAGCAGGGAAGATCCAAGTTGCTACAGGGGAAAAAAAAAGTTCAATATGGTTACTTTCCGATGATTGACGTCACTGCCGATGGGACACAATGATGTTAACAAGAGCACAAATGTGAATGTAATGTATGCTGAAACTGAGCAAAAATCTGGGTACATTTTCATAGTAAAACAGTAGAAAAATAAGGACTGGCTAGTATCTTGCCGACGCCTGTAAAATGCACCTTAAGACGGTCTCGTCAAGAGATCTGAGTGGTTGGAGTGTGCAAAGACTCTGAACTGGTATTTAAAAGAAATGAAGAGGAAGGAAGAGTTCTGTGTGTGTACATGTGTTTTCACGGTTATTTTAAATGGCACCTCAATAGTTTCCAAAGCTAGAAAAATACATCTTTTCCATAGATTATTCCCACACTCATTGGCCAATCACTGGGTAACACTCAACACATTTCAAAACTGCTTAATTCAACTCTCCATGGTCCATGCAATCAAGCAGCAGTCTCATATCTGCCTAAAACCACCATATGGTGCAAGGTCTTGCCCTGCAATGGGGGGATAATATCATTTACAAATCAGGGCTCTTAATTCAACCCTTTTATGCTAATATATGTACACACGCACAAGGGAACATTAACGTATTTTCGTTGCTGCACACAGGAAAACTTGAAATAAAAATCTCTTTGGGCTTTGTTAAAATGTCTTTAGCAAAAGTGTGAAATGCCAAGCCTGAGAGGTTGGAGAGCCAGGGAAGTCCCTTCACTGTCAAAGATCAATAGTATCATAATTTCTCACCCTTATGATGTGATTCACTAGCCCATCAACGCCCTCACTTTCAAAAACCACTTCACTGACTCATACATGCTTAGACATGTGAGTGCACACACATCCACGTGTGCATTCAGACATGTAAATAAATGTGTAGATGCGCGGACACACACACACACATTTATACACAAAAACACAGTCTAACTAAAGAGTTTAACAAAGCAGCCTTGGCAGTAGGGCTTGTCGTTCTGCTCCTTGAAGGTGCCTTTGTTCAGCTGCTTGAGGCAGAAAGCGCACACTAAGTGCTCTGGGTGGAACTTCTTGCCCATGGCTGTGATGCAGCGACCGGTGATGGGCTTCTGGCAGCCAGAGCACAGCGAGCCACGCCGCTCGTGGTAGTGCGCCTCACAGTACGGCTGGCCCTCGTGGTCAAAGAAGCTGCCGTTTACGAACGGCGTGAAGCACTCCTGGACAATCAGAAGAGAGGTTCAATTTATGACAACGGGTTAACACAAAATGCTCAGGTTCATTACAGATATGTCGTGTGACTCACCCTGCAGACGAAGCATTCGGGGTGCCAGAGTGAGTTGAGAGCAGAGATGTAGTTCTCCAGGATGGCACGGGCACAGCCACCACATTTAGGTGCAAACATGTCAAAGTAGTCCTTTCTGCAGAACGCCTTTCCATCCTTCTCATGGAACCCTAGGGGGCAGCAAAGACACACAGTGACCCCCTCTGTATGCTTCTTTTGGTAATGAAAATTCAAACATTGCTCTTTTTCTACACGGGCCAGATGTTGTGTTATTAATTGATGAGCAGTTGGTACCTTCTGGTCCGAAAAAGGCTCCACACTGGGCACAGAAGAAGTGCTCTGGATGCCAGGTCTTGTCCAAAGCAGTCACTACTTTCTGCAACACAAAGTAAAACCAAACAGTGTGACACATAAACAGGAAAATTAACATACAGTATAAGTATGTCTGTCATTATGGGAGAAAATAACAATTTAGAAAGTCAGAGGCCAGGAGAGGGCAGGCAAAGTCCACAGAGGCAGTGTGGGAGGTGCTGGAATGCCATGACTGTTACCTCATGTTTTCCAGGCCTGATAGCATTTCTCAGCAGCTTCAGCTGGAAGCACACTCATACTGTCCATGTAATTCAAGATATTAAAAACAGCCACACCTGCTAAGTTTCTGCAGCAGGGCAAGACTTACTGACTATAAACCACAAAATCACAAACCCCTTTGTGTTGAGAGTACATGTGATTTTTGGTTTTGCCACCAGGGGATGCAGTGTTGAAAAACAAGGTTGTGTTTTTTTTAAGGGAGGGGACAATCCTTCATCATCATTCATCATCTGTATAGATCAGGACTGCCCATCGCTGGGCCCACTGGAGATTGGATTTGGCACACCAGATATTTATAATGAAAAATCACTAATTGAAAGGTATCTGATGAGAAATAGGTAGAAATACTCTTTATAATTATCTATTATCAATTATTTTTTCATAATTTGAGCATAGTTTTCAGTTTTGGCCCTCTAGGGGAAAGATTTAGACACCCCTGGTATAGATAGATACAGAGAAACTAAACTGAAAATTTTACAACACGGGCATCAACAAAGTAAATAAAAAAAATCAGGTCCAAAACAAAACAACTGAGCAATTATAATCAATTCAGATGCTTTACATAATTAAATACAAACATGTATATGTACAGCATTAAGTATCTTTTAGAATTTTCTTTATGTAGGAAATTCATAGTACGGTAGTTCTCTCAGACCAGAGGATACAATACAATACAATACAAAGAAAAGGAAGAAAGAAAGAAAGAAAGAAAGAAAGAAAGAAAGTGAATTAGGAAACCTTGGCAGACACTCATATTAGCCTTTCCTCAAATTAATGTCCAGTGTCTACTTCCCCTCCAGTACTTCTGGCACTGTGTGTGCGTGTGTGTGTGTGTGTGTGTGTGTGTGTGTGTGTGTGTGTGTGCGTGTGCGTTTCTGCGTGCGTGTGTGTGTGTGTGTGTGTGTGTGTGTGTGTGGGGGGAGCAAAGGATGAAAACCCCCGATGGGAGTGTGTCACTGTGAGGATAAGACTGAGTGCTGACAAGTGCATGCAGTGAGATAGACATATGAGTTAGTCTGCAAGCCCAAAGCAACTTGCAGTCCCTTTACTTCTACTGCCTCTAGGACTGTGTGTGTGTGTGTGTGTGTGTGTGTGTGTGTGTGTGTGTCTAATCAACTGCAAATGTCTACTTGAGAAATAAATGCAATTTCCGTCAAGTAGTGATTTTTCCAGTAAGGCTCTAATCCATTAAGTTATGAATAAATAAATATCATTATCCACCCATCCATGGTACACATGTTAGTGAGTGAGTGTGAGAGTGTGTGTGTGTGTGTGTGTGTGTGTGTGTGTGTGTGTGTGTGTGTGTGTGTGTGTGTGTGTGTGTCTGTTAATGTATGCATTACTAACATCCAGTATGGGTCCATTACAGTAGTGGCATCGCGGTGAGAACAGGTTGTGGTAGTCTTTCTCACAGTAAGGCTGCCCCTCACGCTCAAAGAAGTTCCTGGAGCCAATCTCCTCCTGGCAGTGGGTACACACAAAGTGCTCGGGGTGCCACGTTCTGCCCATGGCAGTCACCACCTGGTGTTGGGAGACACAGTGCATTAAATTAAAATGAGCTTCAAAGGGAAAGACCTGGCTCAGCAGAGAAAATCGCTGCCACCTTGCACGCAAAAGCAAAAGGGATATTGCAAACAGCAGCTGCAGATCTCATAACGTAATGTTTAGAGGTGTTTATGTTTCAGTTGGATCATGATTCAAAGAAAGTAATATGTTTGTGCTTCTTTAAAGAAGTAGTCTAAAAGTAGGCAGATAAATGTAATAAAACACAGAAGAAAAGCTTTACGTTTTATATTGCTCCACTTACTGGTTGCCAATTAAGTAAAAGCTGAATTATTGATAGACTGATTGGCTTGGACCTCAAGCGATCATCACAGCCTGAGATATGTGGAACAGAAAATACATCTGGAGTGCAATCTTCCTTTTAACCACATTCTCAACCAAAAAAAAGCCTATAATGTTATATGAGCCTATTTAGTGTTTTAAATTATGTTTCACTTGGTAATTTGTGTTTAAATACTTCAGAAAAATGTCTGCGCATGTATCTAAAACCTTCAAAAATGAAGTCTTGTTTGAATGTGTACTGACTTGTATGTGTATGATTCAGTGTTATCATCACCTGTCCAACAATGGGTTTCTTGCAGGCTCCACAGACACCTTTAGCCACCGTCTGGACTCCGAGTCTGTTGAGGTCGGACTGGAGGCTTCCCAGCATGTTGTCCAGCTTGTTGGCTGGTTTGGGGGGACCGGTGGGAGAAGTCTTTCCCTGGGACTGGATCTGGTGGAGATGGAAGACCAATGTGGCTTCACTATACTATTCTGATGTATGACGGGTTGACAATAAAACAAATATCAGACATGTCTTATGATAAATAGCACTGCAGTTAATACTTCTACGGAGGAGATCATGACATTCAGTCAGAGGTCTTGAGATTCGCAGTCATAGTTTGTATGCCAGACTTTGCGTTGCCTTATGGCCACTGTTCTCATCAGTTTGGATTATTATTTTTTTGGACTTACCTACATGTCATATTACATTGTTTTGTAAACCTAATTTGTAAACCTAACATCATTGTTTCATGTAATCTGCCTTTGTAATTGTTCATTACATTGGTCTCTTCCTGTTGTGGTGCTAGTGCGACAAGTGAACAACCTAAACAGTCGTCAGCTGTCTCCTCTTTCAGGTGGAAGGAGATGAGACGGAGAAAAAATACCAAGACAAGCCACGGGCATATTAACCAGGACGAAAAGATGCTCTCATCAACCATAATCCATGTCTAGAGGCCTTGATAATGACTCTCTAATATTAATATTGTGTGTGAATGTGTGTCTGGCTACTGTAATGTAAGCAAACACAGACCTTCTCAGATGGTGTGGTTATTGGAGCTTCATGACTCTTACATTCCTTTGAGAGAGAAAATAGCATCTCTGCTCCATGTATTCTCACTCACTCACTCACTCACTCACTCACACACTCACACACTCACACACTCACACACACACACACACTCACACACACACACACACACACACACAAGCTTACCTTCGACCAAATAAAATAGCCATTGGAGCTCTGACCTGAATGCAATTCTAATCTAGCACTCATCAATCTCCTACTCTATAAATCTTCGCCAAGACACTATGGATTCTAAAAGAGATGTTGGTACATGGCATTCAACTTCAACCATGCTGGTATCTAACGTAGTGGGACCTGTTGACGGAAGTCTTGTGGGATATGCTATAATTGTGGTGGTAACTGTGCTGTCATGTGGCAGATTGTGTTTCAGTTGCACTGCGAGGCAATCATTCCTGTGCATGGCAGGACAGTTAGTGTAACGTGAACATGGGGGGGTTACGCTCCTCTTGCCTCTAAGCTCTTAAACTCTCCAGTCCACTCTGAACACACAGCCCTTGGCGCCGTTAGATGTCAGAATTAGAAAAGGGGCTCAGTCTCTGTAGCCTGAATGTCACCACTTATAACCTGGACTGACTGGATGAACCTTTAAAGAGGTGACCTGTTGCAACTTGGCATGAATGACAAGCCAATGACCAGACAAATTATATAGCTGACATCAAGTTGCTTGGATTTTAGATTTGAACCAGATAGTCGACAAACACACTCACAAAACACCTAAAAGTGTAAAATAAAGCGTTTGATAGAAAGTGTAAAGAGAGTATGAGGTCAGAGAAAAGGAGAGGTGAAGAAAGGTGATCCGTGCCTGCATTGGTGGGAAGATGGGGTCGTACTCGGTCTGACACCCCACTGATACAAAGGCCTTGGGAGGCGGAGGTGGCGTGATGGGCTTGGGAGGGGGGCTAGGTGATGGAGGGGGCTGGACAGGGGGAGGAGTGGGCTCCCTTGGGGGAGGAGTAGGCTCCCTCGGGGGAGGAGTAGGCTCCTTGGGGGGAGGAGGGGTAGGTTCCCGAGGAGGGGTAGGTTCCCGAGGAGGGGGAGGTTCCCGAGGGGGAGGTCCAGGGGGAGGTGTTGGAGGGGGAGGAGGTAGTGGCAGAGGAGTCTGCTTGACTGGGGGTGGCTTTTTGGGGGGTGGGGGAGATTGCGGAGGGGGAGGACTTTTCTCTGTGGGGCAGGTGATTCTGGGGGGATGACAATCTGGGGGAAAGAAGGAAAAAGCAAACAGCAAAGAAAAGGAGAGCAAACAGATAATAAACAAAAACAGAAAATTAAATGGTAAGAGAAACAAAATTGGCAACATAAACTAAACTGTTATAAAGTGGCTGCCAAAGACAATTACAGTTTTTATTGCAATGTGATGAAACATCATCATTTATTAATATCTGCCAGTTAATTTCTTGACGACCAAACAACCCTAAGCTAAACCATCAGAGGGACATATATGCCATGTTTCCACTGCATGGTACGGCTCAGCTCACTCTTTTTTGGTTTTCAATTGTCAGAAGTTGTGGATAGTACCTGGTACTTTTTCTTGCATGAGTGTGACACCTTGGTTCACGTTCTAAGCAAGCTGAGCCAATACAGAACAGTGGAATGAAAACCCTGCAGACCACTGATTGGTCAGAGCGACTTGTTACTAGAATTGTCACGTGAGCAACTTGTGACCGCAATTTTTTTTTGTTCTCTCTACTTTTTAAAGGCAGCCTGAAAAACCACACCATGGTCAATTGTGCAAAAGTGCAGAGGTTCCTCAGTTTGGCTCTTCATGAAAGGATCTTAAAAGGAAAGGATATCCTACATTGTGTGATTGTGTTGCATTGAAGATGATATAGCAGTTTCATGCTGCGAAGCTTTGATGACCAGCCAAGAATTCCGCTTACATTGAGGGGCTACCAGGTGTAATTTAAAACAAAGTTGAGAAAAGTGCCTGTAAAGTACTACCAAAAGCACATCGAGTCGAGCTGAGCAATGGAAACACGGCTATAAGATCCAACTCTTTAACAGGGTCCTAGAATAGCACAGACTTCTGCTGTGCGCCTCTAATGTCTACCTTATCCACACATGGATGGGCCCCTTCTTCCCGTGTTCGCTGTGGGTTGGACATAACGATGACTCCTTCTGTCAGCCAATCATCTGGCTGTTTACGCCTGCGCTCCGCTCGCCCAATTCCCAGTTTCCCCTGCAGCTCTTCAATGAGTCGGTCTTGCGAGTTGCTCTTATTCACAATGACCGGTCCCATTTTACGCCGCAACATTCCCTCCCTGAACATTGGATGCACATTGGTGGTCTCTTTGGTGCGCCGGATAACCGACTTGAGCTGGAGAGTAGATGATATAAGGAGGTGTGGGAAGCTGGCGTTGTGTCATTCACCAGAAAGGTCCATGTTTGGTTACAAACACAAGCAGGACAGGCCCAACACAGGGTGTCTCATTCAAGTGGCAAAAATGCTCAATCACTGGCTCCAGACTTTTTTAATATGTTAAAAAGGGTTTTGTGAGGCACTCCAACCTGCAGAAGCTAAGCAAAGCCTTCCATTCCATTAAAAATAATTCTCTACTTTCAAGTCTACTAAAAGCTACTCATGTATCTGTGGCAGTGCATGCTGGATAGCAGAAGTCAAAACAACACAAGTCTACCACAAAATGCTTGCACAGAAGTTTGCACATGCCAAAGCAAGGCCAACTATCAAACAAGAAAAGTTCTTGTGTGCTTTGTAGGTACATGTGCACATTCTTGGTGCAAATATCCATGAGCAAAAAAGAAGAAAATCTCCACCCTACTGTTTTTGTATTGACACCACACCAGTGATTAAAAACACATTTTTGCATCATCCATCGGTTACGTAAACATGACAGGCCAGACCCTGTGACTAACACAGCAATGTCGACTGAGGCAAGTAGGGGCGTGCAGAAACATCCTTTCAGCAAAGCTCTCAACATCAGCCACAAATAGTCTCTGCAGGGAGATTTCTCCCTCAAGCCATTTTGCAATTGCTATGCAATGACAGCACATGCATCACACTTTTCTCTTCATCAAGACACTTTGTGTTTTTGTACATTTGCACAGCTCCTTGAGTATTTGTAGGAGCTGCTCTCCCAAAATAAGCTTATTTCGGCAACTAGAGATTGCCAGAGAAACACTCTGCTTGAACAATTATCTGACACAGCCATTATTGTCAGAGATAATTAATATCTTAGGCCACATGGCTAAATAACAGAAAGACCACATGGGGTAATAAAGCCTCTCTAGCTTTATGCCAGCAGCTTATGTTGGGAGAGTCAAGTTGAGCGTCCTACTTGGCCAGAAGCAGATAGTCGCTCAACAGCAGAGGGTTGCTGTGTGGGCAGCTCCAGCGTTGCATCTGGTGTCCCGGGGCAGGTGGAGGGGGTGAAACACTCATCCATCCAGCTGGACTCAGTCATGGGTGTCAGGGTTCCCTCTCGACTGAGATCAGGGTAAATTCCATCCTCCTCCTCCCAAGATCTATCTTCATCTCCAAGCATAACAGAGGCAAGTTGCTGGTTCTCATTCGATTGGGTGGAGTCGGGGGATAAGAGTTTGTCTAAAGCATCATCCAGTAAAGGCTCCCGGCATGGCCATGTTAAATCCAGTATTTCACCTCCCTGCTTTTCTGTAGGAGAAGACCTAGACCTTCCTAGACCCCAGGGAAGGGTATTTGATGGTATAGCAGCAAACTGAACCGGTGAAGCTCTGGGACTGCTGGTGCCTGGAACTGTGTACGTTTTTCTGGCGACTAAAGCAGGACTCTTAAGAACTGCAGTTTCACCCTTGGGAATTGTTACTGGACTTGAAAGCCTTGGGAGTATTACTGAGCAAGCATTCTTTGGCAATGTTTCAGGACTTAAACTCTTGGGTAAACTTGCTGAACTAGAGATATTAGGTACTGTCACAGGACTTGCAATCTTTGGAACTGGACTTGAAAGTCTTGGAATTGACACTGGACTAGCACTCTTGGGAACTGTTTCTGGACTAGCACTCTTTGGGATGGTTACGGGACAGGTGATATTAGGGACTGTCACAGGACTTGCACTTTTTGGAACTGGACTTGAAAGCCTAGGAACTGTGACTGGACTAACAGTCTTCGCCTCTGGACTATGACTTATAGGAAGTGGACTGTAGCTTTTAGGGATTGGGCTTGGACTCTTGTAAGACTGACTTAGATTGGAGCCTTTAAGATCAGGTGGACTGGGGCTCTTGGCTTTAAGAATGGGACTAGGGTTTATAGACACAGTAACAGGACTAGGGCTCTTGCAAACAACTACTGGACTAAAGCTCCTGGCAGCAGTTACTGGACTAGAACTTCTGCCAACAGTAAGTGGACTTAATCTCTTTCCAAATGGACTTGAGACTTTACTAGCAGAGACTTTGGTGACTGACATATGTGTAGGGCTGATGGCTTCATTTTGACTAGGAGGCTTTATGGTACTAGACATACTGAGGCTCTTCACATGAGAAATCTCAGAGGTTACACTGCCAACATTATCCATCTGATGGTTCTGGGAGTACTGAAGGCTCTTGGACGATGCGATCAGTACAGTGGAACCAGCTGAATATGTAGGGGCTGAGCAACCATCTTCATCTATATGTAGTTCCAGTGGAAGAGGGGTACAGGAGGGAGTAGTGTAACTAGAAGGTAAAAGAGTATCCATGGAACCAATATTAGGATTTATAGATGGGGTGGTCACCGCTTGGACAACTTCTGAACCAGCTACCAATGAATCGTCTACTGCCTCTTGATTCACAGACAACTGAGAGCCAGACTGAATTGGGTGCATTAATGTAATGATCGCAATGTCCAAACAAAAACAAGACATACACAGTGGTAGAGAAAAGAGAAAAAGACCGGGAAAAACACATTGAGAATGAAGGGAAAGAACAGAAAGTTGTCTCACATACAAAGGCAAGCAGAGGCACAGTTCACTAAATTCTTCTCTGCAATCTCAAGTCTTAAAGTAATCCCTTCTAAAATACCACAAAACTTAACTTAAAATAAAGAAAATACTAATCTTCACAAAGATAACATTTATCGCTATGTGATAATGGGCTTTAATGGGAAACTGAATTGATGAAATGATTGCAACTTGTTACGTTGTCAATATGTGGATTTTTGCTTTTTCAAGCCACCAACTTCCTCCAATATTGCAAGCTTGCAACAAAATGCAAGGAAATATGCAAATGTAGCACAAAAATGTGTAAATGTCATTCAGGACATGGTTTTGTTTATGTGTCACAACAACTCTAAGTACATTCTAAGTTTAAAGCTGGTAAGTACTCTATTAGTAAGTCAGTTCAGTTTTTTTTTTTTTCAAACAAACAAAAACTGGTCCAAAAAAATCCATCAATCCATTTGATATTATAAATAAAAAAAACTGAAAAAGACTTGTCTGATCCAATGCTTTTTCACAATTAATTCAACGGTCTTCCAAACTCCAAAACATCTTCAGCACAGTCCTAAACAGCTGCACAATACCAAAAATAAACAGTCTCCATCAAGTGTGCAAATCCCAATGACCCAAAATCCACCCACTTGTGAAACATACTCACGTTGCTTTGGACTTTGAAGTCAGACAGGGAGGCCATTAGCTCATCCAGCTCTCGTGTGGCAGAGGAGGCAGACATTCTGGCTTGCTGCTGTGCTGGGGTTTCCTCTAGTCCACCCGTTTGTTCGTCTGACACAACCAGCGGTGTGGGACTAAAGAAGAAAAGAACATGATCGACTCTATGTACGGGCCTTCCACGTTTAATGTCAACATATAACATTCTTGAGCACTTATTTAACTTATTTTATTATTCAACTACATGCAATGACATAATTTCTATGTTCCTTTCATGATTTGTCCCTTACATGGGTGAGGGCACAGAACTTTCCAGCTCATCCAGAAGGCTCTCTACACTTGGTCGTACATCCTCTATTCCTCGAGCTGCTGTACTGCGTTTGGGCTTCTCCATTGTGGGTGGAGCAACCTTGCCTGCAGTAGAGACTCCATTCTCCTGGATGTGGTGGATGACACTGCTGGCAGGCAGTGGGGGAGCTGCTTCTTCTATTACAGAAAAACATGCAAAATGAATTTCCTTCATGGGTCCACAGTCCATTGTTGAGTACATTGAAAACACCAAAATACAGAGGAGGGAACAGACAATACCACAAAAACAGAAGTGCCAAATTTAGGTAGTGACATGTGAATTCTTTAAGAGAAACATAACCATGTTATAAACTGTAAAGTAATCTCTTTGTGTACCTTCTGTGGCGAAGGCAGGGGTGCTTTGCTGGACAGCGTTGAGCTCCAGCAGCAGGCGGTCCAGCTCAGACAGGTTGCTGCCCAAGGATGAGTTCATGGCAACAGCTGATGACTCACTACTCTTCTGCTTATTAGGGAAACTGTACAGTACAGAGGAGAAACAATATTTATCACCAACAGCGCTATGGACTGAGAATGTTGCTAAACTTTGACACTGGCATCATTTGGACAGTGTTTCTGGACTGTGTTTCTGTGTGTGTGCGTAAGAGCGCGCGCGCACGCGAGAATAGTTCTTTCACTTTTTGGGACTGTTTATAAACTGATGAACTGACATGAAGCCCAGTCCTACCTGTATACGTGGTCCTCTTCACCTATGGGTTGGGTTGGACTGCTGCTGTCTCTGGACCAGGGACTTCTCTGAGCTGAGCTGAAAGACTGAGGAGAGAAAGTAAAGTCACTACAGAGTTTTCAGAAGACCATTTGTTCACAGCTAATTTAGGCTTTTATTCATGAGGAAATCAAACAATGTTTTAATCAATTACTTTATCTTTAACTTGCCATGGGCATATACACAATAACATTTATGTGTGCAGTTACCTCTGTTTCATCTAGTCCGTTTTGCTCAGAAGGAGTGGGTGGCACATGGGGTGGAGAGCAGATGTCCTGCTGGATCTGACCCCCAACAGGGAAGGCGTAGGCGGTCTCGTCAGACAGAAAGAGCGGGCGCTTGGAAATGTGGGATGTTGTGGACTCAAGGTCCGCCAACAAAGCATCTATGAAAATACAAAACAAAGCTTTTATCATCACAGGCAGAGTGCTTTACAGAAATATTAGATTTAAAGGATTTTAGCAGCAATGGGACAATGTAACTGTGTTTTTCATGTATCAAATCCACTCCATCCATCCCTTACAACTTGAGCATTCACTAGTGTATATCTACTACTGCAAAACTCCTAGCAGCACATCACGAGTTAGGTTGCATACACACAGGATTAAATAATTACAGCATCTTTTGCAATCGTTCGAAAACCCTTGTGCATTGACATCAGAGGCGGTTGTAAAAGTTGAATCATGCAGACTGTCACAGCCACTCCTTTGGTTACTCATTGACCCCTGTCTGCCTGGAGCCTTGACATGTCTTAAATCCCTGTCACTGTGCGACCATGTCATACATGCTCAAATTTACCCTGTACACGCCAACAGCTACCATCGCTGCATGAAGGGGTTGTTTAGTATTTGCAGAGGAATGCAGGCCAAGAAAACAACTACTAATTTAGCAGACCTAACCAGTAGGTAGGACACATAACATTATAGGGGATTTAATGAAGAGCGCAGACTGTATTACTGAATGGCTTATTTTAGCGTGCTCACTCACCACAGCAGTGTTTAGTTTCTCTTGCAGAATTTCACAAGTCCTAAAAAATAAAACCCTCCATTTAACAAACTTGCTCTAACATGAAACTTCTAAACTATTACTGTTTACACATAATAACACGTTTTCCATTATTCCAACCAATATTTGAAGCTGTTAATGGCAATGGTGTTGGCAATGTAAAATTCTAAATAAAGCAAAACCAAATAAACCATAGTTAGAAACAGCAAATGTTTTGCGCAACTACATTGATGTTTTATTCTTGATTGCATTAACAAAAAAAAAAAATCAAACTGCACTCAGCTGTGAGGTTTTAATATAGGTTACATAATACTGTAACAGCAGTGTTGTTAGGATGTACAAAACACAAACAAATGCAAAGCTCTTAAAATAAAGCAGTATAAAGGCTGAGAAAGACAAAACCATAGCTTAAAAAGGAACATGGAGATAAGACGTACCTTAGAAAAAGACAAGACGTTACACCCCGGGAAGTGAAGAGGAGATAATACAGAAAGAAAAGAAGAAGAAGTGGAGGAGGAAGAGGGCAACCAGACTGTTTGCCAGGCAGGAACTGCCTTTCTTAACTCTACCATCAGCATAAGAGAGCAAGAGATGAGGAGGAGGAGGAGGGGGGAAGAGTGGGGTGCAACTGAGAGCATAGGAGAGGGTCAGGGTAGAGAGGAGGAGGGGGGGTTAAAAATAATGGCAGCAGGTTAGGTTCAGCCTCACATTGCTACCCCAACTCTAGCTGCCTGAAAGCTTAAGTAGGAAATACTACTCACACGAATGACGACCTACAGTCTCTGAGGACGAAGCTGTCCAACTTTGGCAGGCTGAGCACGTTACAGCAGATGAAAGCGTACGCACACCGTTGTGAAATGAGGAAAGTTGAAAGTAACCAGAGCTCTTATCAACTGTGGGGCATGACCAACAAAGGGAGTGGTATCACAAAGGTATATAAAGGTATAATCAGCCCCTCCTTCACAGAGTCAGCACACTCTCTGCTTAGGCATCGTGACTCACACGTACCGCATTTTAATGTTACACTAAATTTAGTGTAGTGCAATAAGGATCAGATTATTCATTTCTTTTGCAATGTCACCCTTTTAAGCACATTTGATCAGGTACAGTAAGTAACTTGGACTGCAATGTTTCCCAGATTTAGAGGAGACACAGCAGATGCAGAGCCTGATCAATGCCAGATTTACTTTGCCAAACTTCGCGTTAGTATGGCTAGCGTGATTAGCATGGCTAACATGCCAGCTGACTCGGTTTCACAGCAGAGACGCCGTTCTGGACACAGAAGCCCAAGCACATTCCACAGAGCTTCATTATGGATACAGCACAGCCCGCTGTTTACACTACTGCAGCCAGCTCAGTGCTTGGTAGTAGCACAAACACACCCATAGAAGTAAAGAAGCCGAAACAACACAACTGTCAATATTTATACTTCATACCACGTATGGAAAGCATGATATAAACCCTACCTTTTAAATATGTTTCAAACCAACCAACAGACAAGTGCACTAAACGCTGCAGTGTCGAGGCTCTAATTGTGGTTGTAAAAGGGGAAGTCAACAAGGGTATGAACTTATTTGTGTTTAAAATGTAGAGGTTATGACTTCTTCTTTCTCACAATGTAGCTGATTTTTAGTGTAATGACACTGCCCAAGACACAGAGACAGGGGGGGGCTATGGATGTACTTTTTTTTTTTTTTGGTAAGTCTATAGTTCTTCTCCCTAATGTTCATTACAGATTACACATGTAGATAATAAGAGGAAACTAAAATACAATAGACATTCATCTAGGATGAAGTGAAGTGAAAACAGGTCAAAACATATTTTAGATTTCATCAGATATAAAGATCTAAAATACTGCATAAATAAATTGTATCTGAAGGCCTTGGTGCATATCTTCTGCTGATGTCAGAACAAAGTTATACTGCAGCTGGTGGAGACCTCAGTAAACAGATGTTAGTCCAGATGGTTTACACAAGAGATGTTAATCAACTTAGCTCTCGAGCTGAACTGGCTTTAACCCTGGTTATAAAGAATCTGCTGCTCCAAAACACTAAGCTTCAAGCTATATGAAATACATATTCTGTTCGGCAGAAGCGTGTGGGAGATCTGTACACTAACTTTAATGTCTAAGAGGTCTTAAGTTAATCGAAAATCATCAGCCCATTCCCCTCAACAAAGTGGTGGGAAAACATTCCCTTTAATTTAGGAGGATAAACACTAAACCTAAAATACAGAAACTAGCAGCTTGAGGGTTGCCTTTGTTCACTGAAAACTGCGTGCTAGGCATGCTCTGGCCCATCCACAAACTCCACTAGAGGTGTGTCAGCCCCCTCTGCCAAGGGAACATACCGTGACACACAGACTCTTGTGCAAAGCACAAAGACTAGTTCCCCAGTGACCAAAAATGGAACTACAATGAAATGGGGAATCATAAGAGACATCCAAGCGCTCAGTCTTAAAAATGAGGGAGGAGAGGCAAGAACTTTTAGAGTTTATTTGAGAATATTTGATAATTTTTAGGAAATACATGTAATAGGAGAATCCACTCAATTGTTTTCACATGGGATAAAACTTCAGTTTGATGCGTTGTAAGCTTGTGTAAAACCTTGAGAGACACTGAGAAACAGACAGCAGTAAGGTTGTGACAGATCTACTCCTGCCTACCTAAAATAGATTGCACAGAGATCTAACAAACTGCCTACATCGTTTAAACACAGTCTGGCCTTCTTCCTTTGCAGCTAATGAACAAGGAAAAACACCAGCATTTCTGTTAGCTTCCATGTCCACAACACTAAATGTGACATGGCAGGGCACAGCTGGACTGCTCCAACAATGAGGAATGGCGGTGGGAGTGCCGAGAGAGATAGCGAGTGAAACTGGGAAGTGTGTGTGTGCGTGGCGCAGCAGGCAAATCCTCAGAGGCTAGAATGTGGGTTGACGCAGATTAAGGAGCCTCCCTTCCTCCCAGATGAATGGTGTGCATTTTAATTACACAAACGCTGCTCCGCATGGGGCTCATTACAGGAAAGAGAGAGAGAGAGAGAGAGAGAGAAAAAAAGGGGGACTGGGAAGATTGGGGTGGCAGAGGAAGGGATGAAAAAAAGACAGGAAAATCAGGAATGAAGGGAGGGGGATGCAGGAAAGTGAGGGTATGAAAAGGAAAGCATTTGAAGAGTCAAGTATGTCAGCAGCAAAGAGAAGGACAGATGTTGGATCTGGATCAGCATTTAAATGGCATCCTTTCATAGCCAGAATCAAACATTATATATATATATATATATATATATATATATATATATATATATATATAAAGTATTGAGACAATACTGGAGCGCTACTTTTGCTCTATGAGGTTTGATCAATAGAAGTCCTGCACGTCAAGAGAAGTAAGCCTCCATTATCACAGACAGGAAATCCTGACTGCATGAGCCCTTATCAGTGCTGACCACTGCACAGAATGAATCCATGCTGTCATGTCTCTAACATGTCTTGTTAGTGGTAGTGTTTCATTTCAGGGAATAGGTCCTATCAAACATAACGCAACAAAACACAGCCATTAACAACCTACAGGGGGTGATGTCGAGTTGCGTGTGAGAGCCGAGCACACTCCCGGCTTCCTTCTTCTAAGGGCTGGTATACAGAGCAGGCTTTATCTGTGAGGGTTCATAAATGCAGAGGCATTTTCACAGATATGTGCTGACACCAAAGTGAGACTAACGGGATGAATATCAGCTGGAAGATTCAGTCTGTGCTGCAAGTTTACCTGTGTTCCCTGACCTCCTTTCTGCGTCTCCCTACCCTCAATCCTTTAATTTCTTCCCGCTGTGTCTGATGTGTTGCAAGGTGCACGCAGGCTGATATGAATTCCTAACATGCCACAGCTCGTCTTCGAAATACGAGAGAAAGAGTGAGAGACGGAGAGAAATGTGTGATAAGGCAGAAAAGAAGAGATTGAAGGCAAGACAGTACAGAAGAAAGAAAACAAAATGTCAGCTGTTAGACAAAGACGTCTTGTAGTAAAAGAGTGTCTTAATGTAATATTTCAAAAATGAACATGTAAAAACAATCTCTATTGTAAGGAACAACGTTCAGTTTGTAGCCTGTGAGTGCGTGCCGACTTGAAGCTACAGCCTTTCATGTTCTGTTGTGAGAGATATGGCCTTTCAATGTGACACAAGCTGACAGACTCTCACAGAGATGATGAATCCCTCTCATTGCTTCCACCAGAAGCAAAAAAAAAAAAAAAAGAAATGGGGACAAGATGGGCGCACATGCACTTACACTTTACTCCCCTCTGGGCTTGTGTTAGACAGCAGAAGGCCTGTGCCTGTGCTCATTTGGAGCGCTTCAGCGGGTTCACAAAATTAAATCACACTAGAA